TAGGGGGAAGGACGGAGAAAGGGGAAGGAAGAGGAGAATGTGTGCTACTTGTGATTCCGTATGGACAGCTCCTTGAGCACTCGTATTTTCCCGCAGGCGTCTTTCCGGCGCTTTTCCCTGATCAGATCTTGCAGGCTGGCGAAGTTGAGCGTGTGCACCCAGTTGTCCGAGAGGTGCAGCTTGAGGAAGTAGCGGCGCTCCCCCCCACCGCCGCCCCCTTGCACCTCTCCGCCGGCCTTGAACTCCCGCTTACCGAAGCGGCACCAGGCGGCGAAGCTCTCGGAGTCGGTCCAGCAGATGTCGCGGCCCTTGAGGCCGAGGTGACCGCGGGCGTTCTGCACCACCAGCTCGGGCGGCAGGGCCCGGTACCGGTACCAGGTGTTGACGATGCGGCCTGCCCTGCCTCCGCCGACCTCGGCCAAGTGGTCGAGCCGGATCTCCTGGTGCTGGAGGTGCACCACCTGGTCGCCGCCGACGTAGACGGCCCAGTGGGCGGCCTGACCGTTCACCGTGAGCTCTAACAAGTCCCCGGCCCGGCAGCGGGGCAGTAAGCTGTTGAGCGAGTACACCTCCAGGTCCTGGTTGCCGCTCAGTTTGGAGAAGATGCACTCCTGGCGGCAGAAGGCGGAATACTCCAGCTCTCCGGCGCCACCGCCCCCTGCCGGCACCTCCGGACCCACCGCCGCCGCTTCATCCCCGGCCGGGCTCGGCGGCTCCCTCCACTGCAGCTCGGCCGGCGCCGCACGCTCGTCCGCCTCATCCTCCTCGTCCGAGAAAAAGTAGGCGACCCCCACCCGCAGATCGTCCTTCTCCAAGCCCGAGGGGTCGCCGGTGGGCAGCTCGCTGTAGTTCAGGTGGGTGATCCGGTCGATTTGATTTCCCATCGATGGCACATGGAGACGGACCGGACCCGCAGAGAGGACGGGGCAAAAACCGAAAGGGGAAAAAAAAGAAATGGAAACCTGGATTAAAATATAAAAAAAAGAGAGAAATAAAAACAAAAGCAGAGAAAGAGAGCGAGATGCACACAAATAACACTCCTGGAATTGCTTCTCCAACCCACCTTTCTGTCTCTTGCAAACACACAAATGATAGCTCCTGGAATTGTCTCTCCAGTGTACCTTCACCTCTTGCAGACACACAAATGTACCTTTTGGACTTGTTTCTCCAATATACCCTCACTTCTCTCTCTCTCTCTCTGACACACACATGTAGCCCCTGGAATTGTTTCTCTCTCTCTTTCCCTATTCATCCTACTCCACCTGCTCCGAGATATTATTGCACACTTTTGGAAAAGGTGGGTCCTGAACCTTTCTCTCAAAAACACACACCCGCGTGTGTGTGTATATGTATATTTATATAAACCACCTCAAATCGGACAATTCCTACTGAGCAACTCTCCTGCACAACTCCGCTCCTAAACTGCTGCATCGTGAGAAATGAAACGCCGCCTTTAAAAAGGTATCTAAAGCTTTTTTTAAAAAAAAAGGGGGAGGTCAAGGGACCCCAGCCCTTCCCCCTGCCCCCCTCCACAAAGTCGATCAATTTCGTGCGCTCTCCGGGCAAAATTTCACCTCGAGTAGGCTTCACTCCTAACTACCCAAGTGTTCATAAAGAGACACCCTCCCCCCCCTTTCTTTCTTTCTTAAGCAAGGTTCACTGAGAACTGATGCAGATCGACGGGTTTCGTTTCGGGAAAAGCTGCCTGAACTTACCTGGCGCCCACCTCCTCCTGCTCCTGCTCCCCCCCTCTCCTCCTGCTCAATGTGGGGAGGGGAGCTCGGTCTCAGCGCTCGATCCACGCTGTCCTAGGGGTGACACAGTCAGTTTCCTTCTGAAGCGCTGCACATGTAGCGAGCTGTGTTCCTGCTCCCGCCTCCCACCCTCATTCATTCGCCTGCTCCACGTTCTCCCAAACGCTGGGAGCTCCCCTGATTGTTCCGACCCGGCTTGTCAATCAAAACAACTGGCAGCCCGACTCTCGGAACTCCCCCCTTGTTCGAGGGGCGGAGAGGCCGGGACATTCTGTTCAATCCGATCGCAGAGGGATCCAACTTCCGCCGTGTTCTGCGAAAATAAAAACGCAATTGACCGAAACAACTTTATAACAGAACAAAAAACATGTTCGTCTTTCATTAGTGTTGGCGATTGCTGTGCACTTTTGACTGCAGAATGCAATAGAGTCGCCCCAACCGTAAATTCCTTTACGAATGCATCAGTTTGTCTGTTTCACTCCCCACGACATTGCTTCTCGACAAAAGAGCAAATCGCGTTGGAAGGACACATTACCGTAATGTAATACTTGCGGTTTAATTCGGCACAAACTTCGCAGTGATGAGGGTCAATCTCAATTAAGGATGCATGCTCTCGAATTTACGGTTAAACCTTGCCGATAAACAACATCCTGAAAGTCTATAAAGGTAGCTCTGCCCACTAAACGTTCGCGTTGTCCCCAGCACGGAAATGTTACGATAAGTTGGGGAAATTCTTAAAGGCAAATTCAGCTCGATTATTAGCAAGTCTAATGCAGAAAGTGCCGTAGGTAATTTTAACTTCCATAATTAAGAAATAATTATTCAGTTATTATTTCGTTTTTTCAATAAACCCTTAAAGGAGAAACACCTTCGTTGATCTGTTGATTTTTTTTACAGATATGAGGTTGAAAGCGCGAGGAATACAGTGGTAATACAAGCTTCTCAACACCATATATAGTTTATTAGTATTCATCCTAATCTACAATATATAGATAACTTTACATCTCTGAGGAGAACAAAGAACACTGCACATACCTCCTGTCTGAAATTGTATCCTATCAAATCATTCACAATGCAATCCCAAAGTCTGTGACTGCCAAAAGCCATGTGTGATGACAGTATCTGTAACAAGTGAAAGTCAGAAAAAAAGTAAATCTCAGCCAGAACCAGAAAATGCTTTTGTACGCAACAGGTCTTCTTTACAAAGAGAAAATAAATCATCCCAGGGGGTAAACATTTTCTTGTAAGATGCAAGAGAAGATATAAAACAAGTAACATGCAGTTTTGGCAATTATGAGAAAAGGTATTTTCTAGTCAACCTGTTCAGAGATGTTATTTCACACTTCTAGAGTGGTGTGACTTGCACTCAAGTCTCCTGGTCCAGAGGTAGGAACATTAACACTAAAGTTTTTGCGCTAAATGCCGAAAGCCACTTAATCAAAAAACTAGATGTCACTATAGCTAAGATAGCCAACCACACAGCAGAAAGACTATAAGGGGAAGAACATTAGGAGATACCAGAGATGTAAACTGAATGTAGGAAATGGATAGAGGAGGATAATCAGTCTTAAAATGGAGGAAGAAGTGGGCATTTGATTTGTTGAAGGCTCCACATCAGGGATTTAGGAGTAAGCCAGTTCACCTGTGGAATTAATTTATCATTCAATTTGATCCTGGCTGAGTGTTGACTTAACTCTGCCTATCGATCTTTGCCCCATATCCATTAATGTCTTTTGCCACCAACATCTATCAGTCTCGTATTTCAAGTTAACAATTTTTCATCAACTGCCTGGAAGAGTACTGAAAATATCTACCACCCTCATGTGTAAAAGTACTTCTTACAACTCTCCTGAATGGTTTGCCTCTAATATTTTAGCTATCCACCTTAGTCCTAGATGCCCCAATAGGTGGAAATATCTTTTATCTATATGCTCACCTTGATTAATCATTAATTAATCATCTAAATTCCAAGAAATATAACACCATTTTCTTGCAGTTTCTTCTTTAGAATTCACTCTCGTAAACCTATTCTGCACTCCTCCAAGGTCATTATGTCTTTCCTCAAGTGAAACTCCAAGTGCTGTCTAACGAATGCTTTGTACAGCAATAGCATGATTTATAACCTCAACCAATCTACTTCTGTAGATAATGACTGACATTCCATTAGCCTTGTGTAATTATTTTGTTTCATGATCTGGGTAGACAGAACTTCTCTGTTCTGTTATCTAAGTCAGGTACTGTGAATAGTTCATGTCTAACACAGATCAGTGTTTGACACTATTAGTAAGATCATGCCATTTAAATTTTTCACACATTTCTTTTCCTCTCAGTCTCTTGTCATTTTGTCAATCTCCTAAGCATATTAGTAATTTGTCTACAATTCCATGAGCTGAAAAATCTCTGATATTTGGTATCATACCTAAAACAAAGGAAAACAGTTGCGGTTGTTGAAAGTCAATCATCTGAGGCACTGGACATCTCTGCAAGAGTTCCTCAAGATAGTATGCTAAAACCAATCATCTTGAGCTATTTCATTAATGACTCTCCTTCCATCATTATGTCAGAGGTGGGGATTTCCTGATTGCACAAAGTTCAGTACCCCTAATGACACCTTAGATACTAAAACACAACTTGTCCATATGCAGCGAGACATGGATAACACTCAGGCTTGAGCTGAGGAGCAGCAAGTAACATTCACACTATGCAAGTGCCAGACAATGACTACTTCCAGCAAGAGAGAAGCTAACTGTGTAACCTTGACATTCAGTAACATCACTATTGTGAATCCTCCACTATCAACATTGTGGAGGGTGTCGTTGTCATTGATCAGAATCTGAATTGGACCAGTCATATACATACTGTAGCCAAAAAGACAGGACAGGTGCTGGAAATTCTGCAGCCAGTAACTCAGCTCTTGATTCTCCAAAGCCTGTCTATTTTCCATGAGGTACAAGTCATTGGGGTCATGAAATACTCTCAACTTGCCTTGATGGGTACAGTTCCAACCTCAAGAACCTCAACATAATCCAAGACAAAGCAGCCTGCATGAAACGTATTGCCTCTACCACCTTAAACATTCACTCTATCCACCACCAAAGCACATTGACAGTAGGGTATGCCATCAACAATATGCCCTGCAGCTACTCTCTCAGTCTTTTTGACCACATCTTGCAAACCCACAACCTCTACTACCTAGAAGGACGAGGACGGTAAATGAATAGGAACTTCACCTCCTGCATGCTCCTGTAAAAATAGACAACGTCCTAATGAGCGACTATATCACATTGATCAACTCTCACTGTGGCAAAGTCCTGGAATTACCAATTGCCGTGTGGGTGTACTTATACCACATGGAATACAGCAGTTCAAGAGCTGCAGATCATCACCGCCTTCTCAAGAATAATTAGGGGTGGACAATAAATGCTGGCCTAGACAATGACACCTCAATCATGTGAAAGAATTTTTTTTAAAAATTCAGTTATGTTCATTAGGCAAAATCCATCTTTTATAAAGTTATGCTTATTCTCTGTCATCAGCTGAAAAGTCTCAAGATGTTTAGTCACTTCATCCTTAATTATAAACTCCAGTCATTTTCTACCATAAGATGTTAGACCTCTAATTACCTGTTTTCCATCTTTCACCGTACCTAAATATCAGTATGTCATGTGTAATTTTCCAGTCTGAAAGATCTGCTGTTAAAAGTGCTTTGGATTATTATATTAAGGCAACTGCAGTATTGTTACCAACTTCTGATGAATCTATCCAGTCATATTGTTTGTCCCTCTTTAATGCTGATATTTTCTACATTACTGCTTTTTCACTCTGTTAATTTTGGTGAATCCCTGTGACTGACTCATTGTTTCCTTGGGATGTTCAGCACGCTATCCTCATCCTTTATTCTAAATACTGATGCCAAATAATTATTCAATATGTCCCCATTTCCTTGTTTTTATTGACAATATCACTTCAATCATTTAACGGAATCAAATTTCTTTTAGCCACAATTCTTTTAGCTGCAATTTATTTTTAACTTGTCACTCAAAAAATTCTATTTTCATTTCTTTTTGTAGCTCTTATTATGTTGAGTCACTCTTTGTTATTCTTTGTAGTTCCCCAACATTCACCCCCCCATTCCAATTTGCATTTTTACATTTTCCTATGCTATTTCCTTTAGCTTTACCTTTTGTCTAATTTGTGTATGCAAACCTCTTGCCTCTGAGGAAAAGAAATAAGTTCTCTGTCGTGTTATATTCTTCTTTGAACAATTGCCACTGATTTTCTGTTTTTAAAAAGATATTTTCAGTTTATGATTGATGATTTCTGTCTCATCCTTTGACGTAGATTTTATCTAAATTTAGACTCGCATTTGATGTTTTGCATCTCTCCCTTTCATTTAAATCACTGAACACAATCATATTATGGTCACTATCAGATAAATGTTATGGACCACTAAGCTGTTAACTAAATCTGGATTATTGCTCATTAAACATAATACTGCCTGCCCCTTTATTAATTCCATGACATATCCTTGGAGAAAACTATTCAGAGCACATTCAAGAAATTTTATCCTGATTCACCAATGGTATGCAAACAAATTTACTAGATTCCTTTTATTGTAGATTTGATAATCTGATATATTCAATTTCTAATCCTAACCATTTTGAAGCTATATCTTAGTATTGACCTCTAAGTTGAAATAATGCATGCAATTCTTAATTACTCCTTATACTCCTCATATTTGCATAAAATACATTATTATAAGGCTCCACGAATCTATTCTATTCATTAGCATTTTTAAAATTCATTCATGAGATATGAGCATCGTTGTTAAGGCCAGCAATTGTTGCCCATCCCTAAATGCCTTTGAGCAGGTCACCTTCCTGAACCACCAAAGACTATGGAGTTTGACCCAGCAATAATAGAGGACTGCCGGCATTGTCCCACATCAGGATGATGGATGGCTTGGTTGCAAGTTGTGACATTCCTGTACATCAACTGTTTTTGACCTTTGAGGTGGTGGAAGTTGTGGGTTTGACTTTCAAAGGAGCATGGGTGAGTTGCTGCAGTGCATCTTGTATACTGCTGCCACTGTGTATC